TTTATTTAATTCATTTTCCATCAATTTATTATACTTGATTAACTCTATCAACGTTATACGTTTAACTATACAAATTCGCGAATACGCGTTTAATCAAATACACATATTATAATAAGCGATAATTATCAAGCATAAAAGTATGAATGATACTAGAATGTATAGACTCGAAATGTATATGATACAACATATACTGCCAAATCGCAGTTTATCACGAAAATTAGAATGTAATTTATGTACTCATATTTTTACTCTATTTATGAAATTTAAAGTAATTGTGCAAAGAAGCCGAAAAACCTTTGTCTGATCTCAACGCTTCCCTCAGAATAAATTGCCTCTAAGATTTTCATAAGTAAATTCGGGTATAAATAATATCAGCACCGCGGTAATTTGTAAGATAATAATTAAACAGAGTTATTGCTGACCACGGCAAACTAGACAAATTCGCGCTTGTTGACATGCGCACAACTCACTTTCAGATTATTATTTCCCGCGAATGGTGTTCCCACGAGTAAAAGGAGTATAATACTTTTATCATCTAAAGTTCACAGACTCAAACGGTCGCGTGTAACGTTAAACACGGTATAAAGCCAAGCCGTGAATATAAAACTGAGCTAGTCTGCGCGGCCTTAAACTCGTGTCCTCGACACGGATTATGGAGAACGCTCGCCTGTTTGCGAGGGCTAAAGAAAACGCTTCTTTCGACGCTTAAGCGGAATATAAATTGGCAGAAAAATGGGATGCGAGGCGCGGCATGGACAGGAAAGATGGAAAGACGAGTAAAAGGGATAGAAAGAAAAAATGATAAGTGAGGCATCGATAGCAGTGACTTTGCGTTATAGATGCGATAAATCCCTACTATAAATTATATATATATTTTATTTGAATTTTTTATATATCGCGTCACACACACACACACACGCGCGCGCGCGCGCGCGCGTAAAAGTGTAAGCGTCAAAAACATAAGTATGGCGAAGAATGCGTTATACTTAATACAAATAGTGTTAATTGACAATAGATTCGCGCACTTTCACTCTTCATGATGGAATGAAGCCTGTTGAACGCTGAATATTGTCGTTTATATTGAGCCATGCTATCTGGGAGATGCCAGCTATGGTAGCTATCGGAAAGACACGATAAGCGAGATAATTACACCCACGCCTGATAATGGAATAACAGTGCGCCTGCTTTTACGGTAAATAACGTGAATGGCTTCGGCGCGACGGGTGCGCACGGCGAGCTGTCCTCGTAGTCGGGCCGTAATTGTAATTTGCATTGTTTAAAAGCAGATAAATAGCGGCCGTTACTATCGATCGACATTATTCAGAGTGCCGAAAGTATCGCGTACGTTTACGACCTCCTCCATATGTTCGCACGAATGCATTTGCGAACGTGATATCCATTATGATTGAAATTGCTGTCTGCCAAGTGTTGACGAGACTAGTAAAGGCCAGTGTAATTTTAGAACAAGCAGAATTAGCCTATATTTACACCTATATTTAGTTAAATATTAATTTTAGAATAGCTATTATTTATTGCGCATATATGCATTATTCTATAGATGTATCAATCAATTCCATGATATTTAATATCAATTTAATTAAATATTCAATTTAATATATATTAAATTGAGAATTTTTATATACGGCAAAATAGAATAAAATTATTATTAGAGCAAAGATCTCTTTTCCTCAGTGATTGCAAACATAATAATCATACGCATGAAATAACAAAAATAGATATCAAACTATAATAATAATTGATAATTAATAATAATCGATCTTGCAATTAATATTTATTAATTAGTGCATTTAGAAAACACTATAGACACGCTTCTTAAAATTAAATATCGTATCTGCCTAATTGCAATTCTGTCGACATTTTTCGTGATACGGGTCACAGCTCGCGTGCACCGCGGTACGTTTATTTAAAGCTTGCACAGAGGCGCTCTGGGACGTCGGTGGATAACAGTTGCATGTGTTTCAATATTTTTATTGGGCGCAAAGCACATTCGTCCGTAACCCCATGGACGCTAAATGCTATTTGAGAAGCGTATGAACGCGTGGGTACATGGCAATGGTAGCAAGAGGTCAATATGGAACAAATATCGACAGCTGTAATGTATACGATGTGAGTTGACGCAGATATCACTTGCCGTGCGAGTTGGCGAGAATGCGGATAGAAGCGTCGATATTGATCTATTTTTCATTTATAATCGTTAATCAGTTCTAAGATTCATAAAAACAATAGAATCCTCTATAATATCAAAATTAAAAAGTATTCGTTTTTTGACAATATACGATAACGTTCTAGATTTCTACTGGTAATCGATGCACCATCGTCAAGAAATATCTAAAACGGTCAACTAGTCTGGTCATCGAGCAATGGGGTCAGTATTAACTTTGAGATTTTGCGCAAACAATATTCATTGTGCCGTGGGACAATGTGGTATTATAAAGTCGCGTGCGAGTCTAAATGAGCATACCATTCTAGAGACAGACGTAGATTATCGCTACAAACGCGAATAAAGGCAGTTTCGTTATCATCGCACTAGATAATCCCAGCTATTCGACATATCAAGAGCAAGCATTTGTAAAATATCGTATGTTGCGATAGGAAAATTTCTCGATAAACATATCCTTTATAACAATATCTTTTATGTAAAAATATATTTTATTAAAATGTAATATATTGAAAATTATTAGAGTAAGCACTTAGCAATGCAATGTTCAGTTCAAATTTAACTATGTATAATCGTATCTTAAATTTACCGTAAACACGTTCCTTTAAGACCATACTCAATATACCATGCTACCCAATGTCTCTTTATTGTGTTAGAGAAGGAGGAGACACTTGATATCCTATTCGATCTAATTTACGAACGCTATAACCTACCTCAAACAAGACTAGAGAGAGAGAGAGAGAGAGAGAGAGAGAGAGAGAGAGAGAGAGAGAGAGAGAGAGACAGACTTTATAATGAAATCACGTTTAATGAACATCAATGACTGAACATCGAGGTGTCGATAGCATCGTTGACGGGCTCTGTCCTCGACTTTCGAGTGTGCGGCTTAAGATCTCTCGAGGGCGAAGTTCCGAACTACACAAAGGATTTCTCCCATCCGTAGGGATATATCCATCCTAAATGGGCTTTCCTGCCGACTGGTCCTTCCTTATCGCAGACAATTGATAATAGGCCCGTTCTTGCTACCACCATTCGAACCTTCGAGCATCTCCGAATGCGAATCCAACGAAATCCTCGAAATTTATCGTCCTTTCTAACTGTTCAAACCATTCCGGTGTACGAGTTAGGCGGTATGGTGTCTTGGAGCAGCAATAAAGTGTCTTGAAATCTAACAAACTTCTTCAATTTGATAAAAAGCCAAATTAATAAAACTAAAAGTAACGATTAATATTAAATTTATAACTAATTAATTAATCGAATGATAATCATTTATTCACTAATATAAAATCTTATCTGACTTTATATTTTCCTAGAGCATAATAAACTTTTAAAGTTCTCTGTCGAGAGATTATTTTCTTCCAAGATTTCATGAATTTTTTAACATCTCTCCAAATCTCACCACTCTTTAGAACGGTCAGAAATATCTGCCTGGCACTTTAAATAAGCAAATTTAAAAATTTCAAATTAGTCTAATTGTAAGTAAAGATGTATGTCCGCAATTTAATATTTCTTTATAATTCAAAATTTACTTTTTTATTCAAAATTTTTACATTATCATATGTAATATATCTCAAATCATCCTTTATATTTTCATACATTTAAAGTATATTGTTACAATAATATTGTTCATTACAAAATTTCGAACTAAAAATAAATGTAATTGTCCTAAAAGAAATCTATATAGTACGACTCTTCGTTTCCAGGTATTTTAAATCCAACTTTTGCAATTTACGTTTTTGCATTTTCTGCGGGAGAACCATACGTTTTTTTTTTCTGCAATCCGATAATGTTTCCTTCGAGAATAGTTTAAGACTTTTACCCTAATGTCCCGACTAAGTTCGATTTCCAAACTTTGAAGTATCTTCCCGAACAATACCGCGATACTCTCGCTCTAATATAAATGATTCCCGATTCCCCTTTTATGCGAAATAAATTGGCCACTAAATTTAAATGGAAACCATCCTGCTATCGACTCAATCGATCGCCAGCGATGGTAAAGCTACGATTGTACCTTTTTTCGCCGATAATCTCATTCTACAGAACTCGATTATCACATATCTAAGAAAGTATTTTAGATTCTTTAGGTCGACAATGCACAATAAATTTTCATCAGTGGATATGAACATTTCATTGCGGATAAAATAAAATCTTAAACGTAGTACATAATTCAGAATCTTATAAACAAGTTTCAAAAAGTAGATCTTTTTAATAAAGTCTCTGATGAATTATTCACTTATTATCCTATTTATAATTTATATATAATTTAGAATTATCGAACGAGACAATTAGTACGCCTCGATTAAGCGTTACGTCGTTTCAATCTTAATTCCTCAGTAGAATTGCTACGTCGTCTTTATTAACGTGTTTCTCCGCAATATTCTCGCTTTTGTGGAGTTTTTTTTATTTTCATCTCTTCGCAAGAATCTTATCCTTTTCCGCCTTTTCTCGTAGCGCCTTTGTTTGCCGTCTTCTTTGCATAATTCTTTTTTTCTTTACTAAAATTTAATTTTCCTCTTCTCTGTGTTCTTATTTGTCTGTGCTAACAATATCTCGCAATTGAAAAACATCAGGGAATCTTCTTCCTCATTAATCAGCATTTGTGTTTTAACTCGAACATTTTCATATTTTTGCTAATAGAGTTTCGGTATTTGTTTGTCTCAAAGCACTTCTACAGAAATGTTAAAGTATATCTTTTTTCGTCATTAAACAAATAACATCCTTATAACCTTATGGAGGTACTTTGTACTTTATTGTCTTAAGGTTCGGGAAAGAGAAAGGTAGAGTTCATTAGGGCCCGAGTATGTGTTTGTCATTCAGTCTGCACTGTGCCATGGTGCCATGGTGACGCGGTATTTGCACACATATAATTATTCAGATTTGATGTAATGGAATTTGGAACTGGAACTGAAATTACTTTGCGAGCGTACAACTTTACTTGGCGATATTTGCGTATTAAATTCATAAAGTTAGAATGCAAATTAAATCCTAAAAATCATCAACATAATATGAATGTTAGGAATATTTGCACTAGCTCCCGTTTAACATCGTGTTCATTTAAGCTTCAAGAGCATTACTATTAAATTAAATCGCCAACGAAATGTGGCGCATGAGAAGTGTAAAATATTGCCATCGGTGCATAACGTACTTATCTGGGATGTAACGCATATTGCACTTTACCCGCGTTAACCATAAGTTACTTCTCGATATAGGTACGTACACAATTTTTCTGCGACGAGGACACGGCTTTCTAGAAAAGAGATTCTACCTTGGAACAAGTTTTGCGGAGTTCTTTTTGAAAGGGTGCCGAGTATAATAAATTTACCGGGCGAGTTATTTAGAGCGATCGATGTAGAAAGTGCCGACGTGCTAGTTCCCCACGATGCGGAAGATATGTCTTGCTGCTCTCTCGCTTTGAAAAATGGAAGTCTTCGCAGCGATTGTCACCGTTTGCTCTACGGGTAAGCGTTTTCATTTTGATGTTAGCAGATTGTTCTCACATGCAAAATGCGTGCTATCTACGTCGTGCAATCAAAGTCTACGTGAAACTACTTGATATACAACATCTATTAATAACAAATTAGCAACATGAAAATTACGAATTATTCAAAATTTACGAGATTTTGTGTGATTATACAATTGTTAAAATATTTATAAATTATGTACACCCATAGGAATTATGTATACGATAAGAAGCAATTTATAGATCAATATTTCACATAACTAACTAAATACAGAATTATCCGATATTTATGTACGAAACGGATTGGTAGAGATTGAAAAATAATAATTGAGTTTTTGTTTTAATTATAAAGTCGGGAAAATTAATAACGCATCTCCTTTATCATCAAATTACTACATCATATAATCCACATTGTTACGCGTAAAAACTGATTAATATACATAGCACAAGTAAATAATTCTCGATGCTTTTGTTGATAATTTGTGTATATAATACTATCCAAAATATCCAATACATAACAATAATGCAAATTTGCTTAATTATGGACGTAAAGTATTTTAAACATTATACACCATTCAATGATTAAATCATATGAATAGGTGTTTATAAATTTTATAAATACATATTTATACATTGTGAGCGTTAATTATATTCCTGCATTATATGCTATCATTAGATTGCACGCTCCCCGATTAATTAAGTGATTTGCACTTTGCATGGTTGCGCCGGTTTGATCAGTGCCATACAGTGGTACCAAAAGAGAACAAGCATTAATTTGCTTACATAAGGTAGGTCGCATCTGCACGTAGAATCGCTAGAAGCTGAAGATCTTCTAAAGCTCGAGGTCGTTACGTCAGAAACCGAGTAGGTCGCGTATTATCGTATAAAGTACGAGGAAGCCAATTGTGTTCACCCGGATTCCCTCTCTATAATTAAAACGCATTTCTATCGTAGCGAAACTCTCACAAATTGTCACTTTGTGCTGCAGCAAAATCTTTAATAACCGTTTTGATATTTCGCTTCATTTGAGGCGCGAAATGGTGATTCTTCAAGGCTTATCCAAAATAATTATATTTGCGATGGATACAGATAAATCACAACTGTTTACATATCGTCCTGAATTAACATACATAGTTAATAAATCATTTCTGTAAATCCGTCCGTCGTGTTAACGAACGGATACGTGCTAACGACGCGTTTTGTGTTTCGGCGAGTTGTGACAGTGCGCACGTCCGGCCATCCTATATTTCTCCCCCCGAGTTAAATGCAAACAAACCGGTTCCCATTTTTCCACGGAAAAATAACTCTCTCTTCGCTCGGCTCTGTCTCCTACGTTGCTCGATGACATCGATTAATCGTTCGACCTTGTCGCGCGCACGTGTTTGCAACTAATGTAGTAAACACTGCAAACAAAATTCATCGCTCCTAGTGCGACCATTAACGATACGTCGCACCGTTTTATTATCAAAGCACCTACAATGGTACCTATTTATTCCTTTGAACGTATGCCTCCAACAAAGATGAGCTTCAGTCGACATTCCGTACTTTACAACGCTTTAAAATCTAATCGCTCCGTTTCGCACTTGTTTATGCAAGTTTAAAAGATTCATACGTCAACACGATAAATGAGAGCGCAAGTTCATTGTGACGGGAAGAAACTATGCTTCTCTCTCGAGAGAGAGACGAATTCTCCGAGCCAATCTTTGCTGCGGATCGGAAATACGCTAGAGCCGCTTGTTCGCGCGAACAGAAATCTCCTGATTCCGCCGCGCCGCGCGCCGGCATGAACACGACGGAAGAACGTAAGCTCCTCGGGATTCTTCTTGAATTTCGTGTTACAGCACCGACTCGCAGATAGATTTTAATGGGCTTGGTACGCCGGACACGTAGTCACTTTGCGCCGGTGGTACCCTGGGCGGGCTAGCGCGTGTAACACATCCCCTGTATGCCCGTGGGTCTACCCCACGTGTGATGTACAGGCGCACGTATACAAACACTTAGCCGCCACTTGGCCGAACATGCTGGTACCGACCAACGAGCCCCATGATCAATCTATGGGCATCGCGGATAGCACAAGTATAGATGCACCGTAATTTCGTTATTTCGACATTTGGAGAAACGGAAAAAATTTTCAAGTTACGCGAGTGAAATGTTATGAAATAATTTCTCTTTTTTTTCTTTTTACAATCAAATATGAATTATACAATAAGCAATAAAAGTATAAAATAAAAATAAAATAGCGTCAATTATTTCCAAATGCAGGATACAGATCGTTCGCTGGAATGCGCGTGAATGTATGAACGTCATGAATGTCGAGATAATTTACAATGTTCGGAGTCTTCTTATGAAAATAGTGCGGCAAATCTTTCTGCATAAGTTGTTTTCTTGCAGGATTAATTTTACAGTTCAATCTTTCTTCTTCATTTCGTCACCCGTGCTCTCCTTCTCGAATTTACCTTATTAGGTGGTTTTCTTTCCGCAAAGGCGACGTAGACACAAATTTTCAAAATTATTACCCAAACTAATATTAGGATAGATTTTAATAAATTGATGTATATTTTAAGTATATAAGTGAAGAAAACAACTCTATATCATTCATATAATATCTTTAAAAAAGTAAATTTCGACAGTGTTTCAATTCATTTATTTTTGCAGAAAACTATTAATATTCTCAGTTTTATTTGCGATAATTAAATCTATTTTCAAGCTAGTAGCAATGGAGATATATGTATGCGTGTGCGCGTTTGTTAATTAGATGCATATAGTAAATATTTATTAAGTTAATTACTTCGTATTTCTCAATGATATTTATCCAAAGTTCGTCGGTATAATTACAGACTCGAATGTTTATCTGAAATTAATTTTGCGTTGCTCGATCGTTCATCGGACGACCTACTATCATGGACAAACAACAGTCGAATAAACTTGAACGCAGCTGAGATTTTCGTTTTTCAAACTGAACCCACCCGCTTGTGCGAAAGTGTCAATATTTGTTTACGTTGTTATGGCTGATCAAACTTGCACACGTTTGCTGTTTCGTAGTTTTCATCGGGGTGCGACGAAAATCCAAGCTGCGATTTCGCATCATAGTTATTCCCACGCGTATGCAATTGAATTTCGTAAATTAATTGCGTAATGACGCTTGCGATTCATTATCAATCTATCCGCCTCGGTGCAAATTAAGGCAATTGGAGCGATTGAGCCCAGTTGCGATGCGTTTGTTTGCACTGCTGCATATCATATGGCTTGTGGATCCAGACAATGCAGCGGTTAAAACAGGATGTACTGTTTCGTGTAACGTTTTCGTGTTTGAACTCTTCCACCATTTTGGCAGCCTACCATATATATTTCGCAGATAACATCCGCACGAGCGTATTACGGGGATAATGCATTACTAAAGTTTGTTTTAAAATTATACTCAGCCGAATCGTGATGTTACATTTAATGAAAGGAGGACAGAAAAACGATACTTTAGTGTAGCTATACAGTACATAACTCTATCAAGATATTCTTATATACTCTTAATAAAATTTTTAAAATTTATTTCTAACATTTATGTACTTATATCTTAAAATTGTATAAATTATACTTTATTATATAAACATTTTGAAAAATACTTAAGCATTGAACTGCATACAAAATTTAAAGAAATCATGAGATCTAGTAGAAAATACAAAAACAACGAAAGAATGTTAAAGCTATATTTATACATATACAAAATAATATTCCTATAGAGAATATTTACCCATTAAAAACAATGTTTCTTCAGTTTTTCTATATACTTATTTGTTAGAAAATTTCTGAAAAAACATTTAATATATTTCGTGATAAAATAATAAGGAATTCAAAATATAAATATACGATAATAGACAATAGTGTACATATATTTCATTTCTCGCAGGAGAACTGCATAGAAACATGTATGTGTGTACCAAGTTTAGTACCTTGATCAATATCCAAAGTATTCCCTTGCTAAAAATATGTTTGATAATTTTTTTCCAAAACTTAAAACAAGCGCAATATTTTATTTTGAAATAAATCGTTTTAGTGTTTAAAACATTATGTCAAGCTACATAAACCTTATTTTAATTTTTAATCAAAACGTGATGCATTTTGCATAAGCTCTTTTCCTTGGTTTCATTAACTTTCTTCATCGTCAGGAATATTCGTCCTTACGGTAAAACTCATAATGATACACGAAGTTGTTTACGAGGCCGTGAAATAGATAGACATCCCGAGTCAAAGTTTCGTACCATCAGCCTGCTTTCCGTAAGGCAAGATTTACGTTAACTCTTGACTGTCTGAAAAACTTTACGAGTTTAAGTACTTTTCGTATCAGATGTCTCTAAGGTACGAGAAACCAGAAAATACGCATGGCAAGGTGGGATTTCATAAGAGAGATCGCGTAGTGAATTTCACTCCCAATGGGATTACCAAAAATATTATCAAGGATTTTAATAATCAAATTATGTGAACAAACTTACGAATACCGCAAAATATATATTCTCAGAGGATTTCAATGAGTTGATTGCTAGAAATCAATCTTACTTACTACTTTCATACTCTATAATATCTTCCGTGATTGTTATATCAAAGCAATTTAATAATTAACGTCAAAATAATTATTTTATTAATGTAAATAATCTTTAAACTAAACTTTATTTTTATCCAACTATTTCTATCAAACCGTACAGATTATACTAATTTTCAGTAAAAAATTTTAACGAAGCAATTGAAAATTTTGCATCATTAAATTTATCGATTGCACAGCATGTCCCTTAAAGACGTTCGAGGGTAACGAATAACGAAATATGTATTAGTTCGATGCCCTTTAATTGCTGGAAAATACAAAATGGATTCTGATAACGGAATATCGAGTTGAAGTCGATATCTTGAGCGTGAGCCCGACGCTCTCCAAGTAATTAGCTTGGCGCCGCCGGTAAGAAAACTTGAAAATAGTCTAGACTAAATTTCCTACTTTATAATCAATACCGCACAAATAGCCGAAGGACTTTTCGACTTACTCCATATTTCCTCTCTATCTAGACCATCGTAATTATAGCACATTTTATCAGTAACGATAAGCATTCGGACTTGTTAGAATTTTGACTATAACTTTCCTGGCTTCGGATGTTCCGAGGGATGTAATTATTCTCCTATTATGAGTTAGTGCTCTGTGAGTGCATAGTGGTTATTGGCATATCTCTATGTTCTGCCGTTGAAATTACTTTGAAATCTATTTTTTGTCGATTTCGAAACGTACCAACAAGTATGTAATAGTTCTGTTCTTGTAAAATATCGTGGCACGTTACAGCACATAGAAACTTGTTCATCAAACTCGTCACGTTAAACTTCAGGTAATTATCCAAGGAAAACGGGAATATCCTTGTTAATCTCTTAGAAGCGTGGAACGATATTTTTAGCAACCGCCAGGAAGGAGACGCCTTCGCAATTTTCTCATTAATTGGCGGATTTGGCCGAGATTGAGATTGTGGGCGAAGAAGCGTAATAAATGAATTAGCCTGTAGTGATATAATTACTACCTTATCAATTTTAATATGTTGAAATATTTTAGTACTAGAAAAGTGTTATTACTAAAAAACGTATAAAAGATATAAACAAATTATAAATAAAATAATACATTACTTAATTACAATCAGAAACATTAATACATAAATTAAAAATTTGTATGTTTTAAATTTCTTTCACTCATTGAATGTTTAAAAATAATAAATAAAAACATTCTAAAATATAATAGTTTGAATACTTTTAAAAGTAGTTTGAAATTACTTCATTTTTTAACACAAATAATTCTGTCAATTATAAAACTTCAACGAGTTATTGATATGCCTCTTTTTTCAATTTTATCCTATTTTTTTCTCGATTTGATCCAATAGACGTTATACTGCAAAGGTTAACATTTGAAAATCCAAAAGTTTAACATATACAAACTGAAAGTTTTTTATTTACGGTTTTTCTTAAATTTTTATTTGGTTTAAATTTCGTATTATATTAAAAACTATATTTTGACTTTACACACACACACACACACACACACACACACACACACACACACACACACACACACACACATTTAATTAATATAAAATTCATACTAGATATTAATTTACAAAATATTTTAATTTGTTAAAATGCTCTTATTACAGATTCAAATGTAAAAAAAATATATACGATAAAAATAGATAAAAATAAAATATTAAAAATACAGAACGTGGAAATACAGAGGAAAGAGATATGCTTTTTGTCGATAGCATCATTTTTCCCGCTTATACGCCAACGACGTGTTCGTCGGATGATGGATCGAACAAAATGGATTCGTGACGTTTCCCGGGTAATAGGGATGGCACAAGTGTATTTTTCTTATGATACGTCAAGAGCTTTATCCCGTATTTAGTTGTAAACTTTGATAAAATACCGACAAATTATACAACATTTAATCCAAAATATCAAATATTGATTAAATTGATCTATTATCCTTCGTACATTTAATTTTTCCAAATCTATTTGTTGTTGTTTACATTTAGTAAAGATAAAAATTAAGATGCTGCCTGGACATGCATAGAAATTTAATGCAATAGGATTTACAGGATTTACATTTAATCTCGAAAACGATGAGATTGACACTAAAAAACAAAACGTACACATGTTTTGTCGTATCCCGAGCGAGAGATGTTGTATTATTTATCATGGGGAGTACAAAATTTCACGCGGAAAGTTGTAGGAACATAAAGAGGATCCCGCTGCACTCTGTGCAGAAAAAAAAGATGCAGAAATGATTCCAAATTGTAGAGGAAACTCTCACCCACCATGGGAGAATTATGTCACTGTTATTCGTGGCATACGTAAGCCGACTGCATACACGTGAGCAAAATAAAAAGTTCGCAGGACAGCATGTTTAAAGCATGTGCCGGGCAGTTATATACGTGAAACGCTTACTAACGAACCGTCGGTTTAAAATCTACAAAATTTCTAGATTGGTCGTACGGCTTGAAAATTTGCGACTTTAATTTCGTGACCACAGATAGCTTATTATAGTGGAGAAAAATTCTCTCAACAATTTATCGTTAAGTTACGAAACTGCTATTAATTTCAATCGTTTGTGCTTTCTAAGAACATATACTTTTTTTTATGTATATGCTATTTATACATAAATCAAGTGGCAATACCTTTTCGTTTTGGATACATATATAGATATATATATATATATATATATATATATATAATGTATGTTAATTATTGTTATTTGGAGACAGGTATGTTATCAGATCATTCGTAGCGGTTTCCTGATAACTTTGAAATAATTTTCCGATCGAGTTGCGGAGTAATTTAGAAGTGAACTTGAACGAGTTTCGTAAAACGAGATCTAGAATTTCTCGATAAACGCAGTAGCTCGAGGTTGAGTGAACTTTCTCAAGTCAAACGAATTTTCCAGATCGAGAAACGAAAAAGTTTCCGTTAAAATACCGTCACTCTTAATATAGTTTATTTTCTGTCTTAAGTTTTCCAAGAATGTGCAACGGCTTCGTTTTACCGGAAATGTCGATTTTTAATACAAATAATTGCACGCATTTCGTTTTCGATCGGCAAAAATCTTTACTGAGATTTTTACATATTTTATTTTAGTCAATTATTTTTATTATATTATTTAGTCAATTGCATTCTGCTGGCAACTCTTTATCTTTTACAAATGACTATTAAATTGCTATTGCATTATTTTATCATTAGCATTTAAAAAGTTAATTTTATATAAAAACTTCAACTCACGTCTATCGATAAAACGAAAAGTGCCGGAAAAGCCAGTAGTATTAGATGATGGGCCTTCAGTGTGAAACTCCAGAATGAGTGTCGATCTCGAGCTGTAAAGAACTTGCGGGATGTCACGCAGTTCTCCGCAAAGCACACCGGACCAAGGGGTGTACTCGGAAATGCCCTTACTTTCCAGGTGTAAAAATAGCTTCAAGAAATCTCCTCTTGTACAGCTAAAACCAAATTTTAAATATACTATTAGTATAATGTATATTATATACATATATGTATGATAACAAATAAGTATTAATCAGGCATATACCTGAATTTTATCTATCTCTATAAATTTATGGCATCAAATCGAGAAAATGAGAACATCAAATCAACAAAGTTTTGCGATATATATATATATATTTACACTAAAACGATAAATTCGCTAATACATTTAAAATATCCATAATTCGTAATACGCCCAAAGTAAGTAATTGACTAATTACACTCGATGTTGAAACGGAACAGGTGTTTGCAAGTCTCACTGTACACAGATTACCGCAGTTCACGTGCTTAGAGAACGTCTGTGATCCCGTGACTTAAAGCGAATACAATGCCGAAATTAGCGCGGCTTATGGCAAAGCCGAGAAGTTCATGTTAGCGGCTTGCGCTCGCAAAAACAATTTGCTACTCGCATTAGTTCGGGAATTCAGAGTTACAATCTCGATGAAACCGGAGCTACTTTCAATAGCGTGATGTTGTCGATGGCCCATGATTAATGTCGAAATTACCCCAATCTTTAAGGCTTCATCTACCCATGATGGTAGAGATGGTATAGAATATTAAACCTATTACCCGACGCGAAACCATTATATCGAAATTATTTAGGTGAGCGACGAATTACACGTTAATTACACCGCGCTACAAGTTCAGTTGAAAATTACCGAGGTCTTAATGATCCCGTTATGCAACCTATTTATCACGGTCGCTTGGACAGCTCCTAATTAATCGGTGGCACTCCCTGCGCGATATTCCATCTGTCGTGAGTGAGTCGCCACGATGCATGCTTACCTACGATAAAACGAATTAATTTTGCGCGAACATTTCTTCTCCGACTGCCTCGCGAGCATGCTCCCTGGAGATGCAGGGCACGAAAAATCTGCGAATGGATAATTTATCAATATGCGATTCGTCATCGTTAGTGGTGACCGTGGAAGACGTCCCACAGATAAGGATGAGGCAACATCGTGAACAAATACGAAACCGCGGGTGACCGCGTATCGACCGCGAAGGTCCCTACCATCCTGCATGGATATTAATTTTGTACCTTAATTTCCCAAACGTATTTCCGTTGACGCTCAGATCTTACGAGTCTCGTGTACGGCCGTGTAAGGTGGTCTGCGGCAGAATCAACGTTTATCGTTATTAACTGAAGCAGGGAGGAGGCGTGGACCTTGGCACATCGTGCATCTACTATGTAGAGTAATGAGATAGGGATAGAGTTACAGTGTAAAAGAGGTATCGTCTGGCCGTTGACCACTCGACGAATCTCCAATGGCTAAATTCGCAGGAGTCATTAGTCGAACAAATAGTGATAGTGCAACTGCACTATCTTTCCAAAAAGTGCCTGTTTGAGTGATGGATGTATAAAGATTGGAATATTTAGCAATTTCTAGAAATATTGTATATTAATAATAATTAATAAGATACACGATGACGATAAACTCAACAAATCGTTCCCCAATATTATTTCAATATCAGTCATGTAGACTAAAAACTAATTAAGTGAAAGCGATTCTTTTTTACTTTCTAACGTTAATTTTTGTCGCAAATCGGACATTTGTAAAATAAGTACTTGGTTGTAAATTATAATATAGAATGAAACGGTCCGCAACGATGGGTGATTTAGCGGGAGAAGTAGAACAAAGAGAGAAAAAAAGAGCCAAAATTCAAGAAGATAGGAACGAGTTGGTGTACTGAAATTGAGAGGTGACATCAAGGGTTGGCAACAGAACATCTAAAGCTCGACGAATCAAGATTTACGCGATCTTCCCCGGGGCTCGTATGGCACGCACGAGTATATCATAATGCTTCACGCGTCTCCAAGACAGAAATACCAACGATTTGTTTTGGAGTTTTCGAAAGACCCGCTTGTCAAACAATATACTAAGAAAAGCACGTAGAAATTCGTGATCCGAGACGAAAAGGTTGTTGCCATTTGAACGTCGGTATTGCTTTGCACCGTTTTGCGTCGGTTCTCGTGGCATGACTTTTCCGCACTGGTTGCACTCAAACTGCCTGACTGCTGGCTGCCGCGATTTATTACGTGGTTCGGGAAACGAGTTTCTCACTTTCCGTGCGATGCCCAGGTGATATTTTCTAAGGTTTAGGTGGGAGGACGCGGTGGGAAATCATGAACGACCATGGTGGTCGATTGGAACTCAGCGGAAAAAATAAATCGAACCGCTGATGAATCTGTCAGACCCTTTGGGCCACGTCGGATGGGTACGAGTTTTATGAGAAAAGCGGGTGACGTGAAATATGGCCGACTCCCTTGCATCTTTTTTGATCATACGTCAAAAAGTCAAAACGTGGTAAAAATTTTATTATGATCGAAGCCTGGTTAGTGCACGACGTGTCCACTCGTGCAATATTAATGGAGAAAGCTTCCCGTTAATATTAGGATACACAGTGGGCTTTGCAGTTACCTTCCTCCCATTCCTTCATTCATATATCAAAATGTCAAAACTCGGTAAAGTGTAGAAAACACTTTTAGGATTAACGGTTGTGGTTTTCACATAATTTCGCCAAATATATCAGGCAAATAAATACATTCCGCGTCAATTTTTTTGTCGACTGCAAACGTAGATACGTATAAATAAATAAATGCAGAGTAGCATCGAAAGTCGTGAAGAAAGTTTGTAAACTACTTTTCTGTTGAAAACGCGCTATATTTCGTTGTCACAAACTATCGATTCCTAAAAGAATTCGAAAGCAAGCGTACTTCCAAAATAAAACTTACAAGTATCGCCACGCGGCACATTATGTGATTTATTTATACGTGTTCTGTAAATACAACGATCTATGTGATCGGCGCGCAAACGATGACGAATATAACTTTATCGCTGCTCAGGCAGTGTAACTGCAGTTGGCGTTCGATATTGGCAATTGCGCCAAATATAGCAACGATGTCGCGCACTGTTGAAGGTAAAGAGCCACAGTGAGAGTGAGTGAGAGTGAGAGAATGAGATAAAAAGAAAAGACTTTGACATTTATATCTTGCACTTGTCATTCTATGCTAAAAAAAAAAAAATAAATAAAGCAATGTATAACAATAAGACAATAAATCGAAAAAACAGTTCCCCTCATTTTATGATGAAACTGTCAAAGACTCAATTCTAAGAATAAAGATATAAAATCAGAGGCAATCATAATTGAGACAGGGATTCTGATTAGCGTGTAATATGAAGTTCAAAAAGTTTTCGCCAAGAGTTCGTAAAAGTTGTTAGTCTAACAAAACACTGAAAGTTGAAACTTGACTTTCCTCAAAGAGTCCCCCCTATGGTTGGCTCAATGCCAAACGTCGACATATCGTGTATATGAATATAAAATATGTTTTTAGAAAATTAAACGGAATATTTAAACTATTCGAAAATTTAGCATAGAAAACAATTTAACAGAAAAAAGACATTATTGTATGATATATATTCTCAATAATAAGCAATATAAAATATCATTAATGAAAAACAACATTAATATTTAATGACATTATTTTATCTATCATTAATCTTAAATTTGTGTACATTTAATTATTAAATATCCATAAAAAGTTCCACTCAATTTTCATGATTTCCCTAGAAGAGATAGAAATTCAAATATAAAAAGCGATTCTGCTGTGATTTCAGTAACTAGACAGATCTAAGGTTAATGTACCATTAGGAGCTGACATTTTGCCGATTTCCGGAACTGTGATATTGACGTCCCAAAGGTTTTCTCGCAAGCGCATATACCATGCAACCAGCCCTGTGGTTCTCCTACGCGCCTGTCCAATCACGCCACGTGATTTAATTCGAAATGCATATACTGTAAGCGAGGTTACGTATACATTACATGCGCAAGAGAGTTACTCCGAATTTAGCCCACGGCTTTATGCGTTCATCCTTATCCCCGCAACGATAAACTAATCGGTCTCGCAAATACGTACACGTCGTAACTTACCTTCTCAGTTTCCCTACGCAATCGATTCAAACTATCAATATATCAGAATAAACCATTGAGAGAATGTTTTCATCTAATGTAAAAAGCATGCATCTGTTTGCACGTGACGATTTAATCAAATTTAGTATAATTTACATAATTTCCAGAAAACAAAAAAAATTGCTAATTAAATATCTAAATTTCTCTATCTGATCGACAAGCTTTGTATGCGTCTTTTTCTCTTGCTTCATATTATCCATATTTTGTCAAATGAATTCGATGAGTTTTTACTTATTTTTTTAATGACAGAGTACGCAAACAGTACTGTATTACTCGTAACTTTATTCGCGCACTACGTTCGTCGGATATTTCGAAGCGTTATTTCCGCGCAATTCCGGCTTGTAATTTCCGCAGGCAACGGCGGCGCTTACGTGCAAGTAAGTCGTGTTTTGCGATGACTTGAGAGTCCTCGGAAAACCTCACCTTATTACAGTCGCAGAGTTGGATTTGATACCCTTTTGATGAACACGCACACACATACATCAAATATTAACAATACATAGGTACTGCCAGCAATTTATTTCACAGTTTTAATTCCTCAAAAGATCGGTATAGCATATAAAGTTTCTTTGGAATATGCCAATGCACAATTATCGATTACATTACGTTACTGACAATAGGTAATTAAAAGACAATATTACAAAGAAAGGGCCATAAGGAATCGGTAAGCATTGTGCAAATACATATATGATTTCAAACCAGTGATATAATTGCGATTAGTAATATATGATATCTTTACATTTTTACTTACCGCGCCGATCCTTTAAAGCCTTCTCTTTGCAATAATGTTTTTTTAAATTTAGAAGTCAATTATTCGCGTTTAGATAATAATTGAACCTGTAGAAAGATTAATTCTCTTTCTTCTTCTTAATTATTTGCGCTATATCCGAACGCGCTATATCCAAAATGAAAATCATCTTATTAATTCAATTAATAAGGAATTTTTCAAATATAATTGTGTTTTTTGTGTATAAGAAAGGATGTGTATGTGTGTGTGTGCGCGCGCGCGCGCGCGCATACACACACAAACACTTTCTCCATTCAATAATTTTTCTCGCATTTTAATAAAAATTAATATTTGCATACTATTTTAATTAATCCCTTGAGAACTTGCAAGCAATTCTACTTAAAAAAAAAAAAAAAATATATATATATATGAAAGATTAATCGTCTCCTGTACCGACGACGAAGACATTTTGTCTTATCACGATTATTCTTATTTTATCATATTTAAAAGAATATTTAATAATGAGACAAAGAAATACGCAAGTTGAAACAAATGCATCTACTTTTATAAATATTCAGCTTAAATTCGACAATAAAGCGAGGATATAGAGATGGATGGTCAGTTCTTGCATTGTTTCCAAATAGGGCCTGCGGCAGTTCAAGCCTGAATCAGAAAATGTAGGTGCATTCAAACAGCTTTACATCAAATGGCTCGTACCGAGGACGAGCTCGTAAAAGATGTCTGCTGGTGCTACTTTAGCACTGTGTGTGATACGCGCGTTCCATTAAAAGACTGTGAGTATTGTGCACGTTGTATGTGTGCGCGCGCGTGCGTGTATGTATAAGAGTGTGTAAGAGCAGCAAATTCTCTTTCCGTCGTTCGTCTATATATGACGCTTAGACGGTGAGAGCACTGAGAACATGTTATCCACTCTTTAAATCGGGATTCGCACAAAATGAAAAACAACGGCAACGTTGACCCATCTTTACATGAAGTAAAAAGAATGAAATTTTTCTTACAACTGCATAATTATAAAAGTACTAAATAATAAAATAATTATATTATTTAGTACTTTTCATATTTATTTTCCGATGTTATTTGCTTTTATAATTTCATGTATATACATACATACATACATACATACATAAGCAAAAATTAGCCAAAAACATTATAACATTTAAAATGTGTAAAACTCTTAGATATACATAACTTATAAAGCGTAGATATGATTCATTGAAAATTTAGTTGGCATCCAAGAATCATTAGAGAATACCAAGCATTCACTCGACGATAATTTTACTTTCCGACTCCGAATCGTTATTCGCTGATTTCTCTCCAGGTTTAGACTATCGACTTTCTTTCTTCAATAAAGCACTCGCATTCCTCTTTCTATGTCTTATTCCTTCTTCCGTTTCTGTTCCATGATATCTTACTGAGCTTATAAAAGCTTTTATCGACTTAGTGGAATTCTCACTGGACGTTTCAAAAGAATTCCAATGGCAACTGATATGATCGATGAGTTGACAAATTCTTTCGATATTTCGACGTTTTATTTAAAAATAACATTATTACTGCCATTCATCAAAATTGTAAAAAGTCTGCAGCTGTAGTAAAAAATGCGATAATTTTGATATCGTATATGTTAAAAGAAAATTATCTAATAAAATACACGCGATTATATTAAGTATTACGAAAATTCTATCATGCGCGACGTATGATTATTTTATGGCTGATTAAAGAGTGAGCCTAACTACTTATCGAGTAACTTGACAAGCATAGTGAAACTACTGATACAAATCTCCTATTCTCTGTGCGTAGCTTCAATGATCATTTACATGCTCGCATTACACCTCCCATTATCGTAACTAGTAATTTCATTAAACACAGATTGTAACTGGGAACGATGCCATTAATATCCTATCGTGGTATCACGTATCATCGTTACGATCCACAGTAGGTTGAGTGAAACTTTCTATATTACCTATTCATTATTCAGATATCACGTCGAAACGTACAACAGAGAATATTAAAAACATATATTTAATTGATTTTATTGATGTAATAATCACATAAATAATTATAATATTATTACCTAGAATTAACTGGGAACAGTCGTATTACGGTCATACTAACGGACAAGCCTATTCGGTGGCTATTATCGCGTCACGGTTTCAAAACCAGTCTCATTAAAACCAGCCTCATCAAAAACAGTCTTAAACAAGGTATCCTCTGTTGTTTGTAAAGTAAAGCTTGTGTGCAGTAAAGTCCCATATTGTTTTCCTAGGACGATGGCGTCCATCGCTCAATCCGCAATGACTTAGCTGAGACATGCGAGCCTACCGCTCACCAATGCGTAGCAATTGTACTCACCACCGAGCGACAATGAAGATTTAGGAATGCGGGCTCAGCTAAACAATAGAGCTTTATGAGAACCTAAATCCACCACAATGGACGGCGGTGGTGGTGTGCGTACGCCGATCGATATTTTAAGGTGTCGTCGCTGGCTTCGCGCCATCGACCATCCCTTGTCTCGTGACATGGAATAAACGGAATTGCCGTCTTAACCCTAAAGCATCAATTTAAGTGTTAGCCTAAATCAATTTAAACATCGGCCTTGCTGCAATGCGAGTATTTTGCACTATTAACAAAAAATATGAATGTTCATATAGAAACGATATTCCGTAATTTACAAAAAGACTTTCAAGATATCGTTAATCTTAATGACAACTTTTTCGTTTTCGTCAGTTTAATTGATACGCTTATACTTCATAAAACAATTTAATTACGATTCTAATTAAAAACAATTATTAATTTAGGTATATATTTCCAGAAAGAGAGAGAGAGAGAGAGAGAGAGAGAGAGAGATTATATACCTATGTTTGCTTGTAACATGTCATTACTATAAAATTTACTTTCATGAAATTCAAATTATAAAGTATCAGAGTCTGATATTTCTGATTAAAAGACTTGCGATAACATGCCGAAATGCACCTTTCTCACGCTAAAAAATAGAATCGTCAAAAGCGTGGAGCTTTGTAATCACTTCTGATATTACTCTCATCGATCGTACTGCCATCTACTTTAACCCATTTCTTTGAAATCTTGACAATTGCTTTTTATATAAAAGAAAAAGAGCTAAGCAACTGTGGTAAATTGACAATTTGAGTAGAATTTTAGTCAAAGTATGGAACGAAAATTGTTTTCAGTTCATGACAGAATACAAATAAAATGTTATAAAGTTTTTCGTGAAACATTTTATGACGCGTTCTGACTTTAATATTCGGTGTAATCTGTACATCACGCTTATGCAATTATTACTAATTGCAAGATATTATGAAGGGAGAATCTTCGTGCTTAGAAGAATCCATCAAAATTATTACGATTTACTGACGTAAGGGCGTGCTGGTAATCAAGCTAGCGTGCAGATAATGGTACCAGGTATTACATCAGGCCCTAGGTGTGCATATAATGTTGCGTCTAATCATTCAACAAAGGATCTAGTCAAATACGTTACAACGCGAGAGAGCTTTTGCACGCACGGATTATATCGTGACTCACTACTATAACTTGTGCCAAGCGGAATTCGTAATTCAAGTACGAATATTATCGTCGCATCTTGAATGATACATCGTCGTTAAACCGAATAGCATTCGCGTATTATGAAGCAGACAGCACAGACAAATTGCTGGTTTTCTTCTTCAGAAAATCTAACAACTGCTCTCTTTTGACCCGCGCGTCTTCGTTAAATCGCGTCCTATAATAATGCGTTTTGCGGTACAAGCAGGAGATAAATTTAAACAACATGCTTTGTTGCCGACGCGATATTTTCCAAGAAAAATAGACTTCTTTATAAACTATGTATCAGAAGTGATATATAAAAGTATATTTGTAAAGTGTCGGTAAAACTGTCTGAATCATTTGAACGTGAATAACATAATATTATCGCTTCGTATGTATATGATAGATTGAAATATTCCAATTGACAAAGAATATTCTGCCCAATATGTCTTCGCCTAGTTACGCCCTTCGAGAATAAAGGCATTTATCCTGCTGATACGACGCGTTTCCCTGAGCAACGAACCGGTTCCCTTCGGGAATACGACCCTCAACGATGAAAAGTGGTGCCTCATACAATAATTCAAAAGACAACAAGATCCGTGGAGCGGTATGTCATAACTCTCGGCATCACCTTTTTCAGCAACTTTTTATGGTCATGTCTTTGACAATTGTTGACGAGGTTATTACTAGATGGCACATTTGTGTTTGTCTATAATTTTATTATCTATTCGTAAAAAGGAAACATAATAAGAAACATTGTGT